GAAATCTATCTTTTACATAATTTTGTTAAAACAAAATTACAGCCTCTTTCGATTCACTTCCCTCTCCCCTCTCTTTTGCCGTAACACTCATTTGGATATATCTGTATTACTGTCGTCTGTCTCCTTTCTCTTTTTCCATTTTTCCTTTTTCTTTTCTCCCCACTCCCCTCCTATTCCTATATATCATTTCCGTTAAGTTAACCATCTAAATAGGTCACGGTTCGGTCACTCCTCCTACCCCAATATAAAGCATGCTTAAGACAGATATGAAATTAACCCCTCCCTATACTCTACCTTGTCTCTTTAACTACAACTCCCCCCCGTTAAATTACAAAATTACACTACCCATCAATTTCTAATCCCATTTTTTCTTTCATTTCGTTGTTGGAATTGTTACCTGATGATCCGGAGTCCTTTAAAAGGATTTTGGTGAAATAAATTATTGTAATGGTACCTTAAAGTGGTCTGTTTTTCATTAAATATTACCTCTGTATTCACATTGAGCTCTCAGGATTTCATCCTCCTTGAATTACCCATTAGGTTTACCAAGTTCTTTGTAACTTAACTATATATTATATATATATATATATATATATATATATATATATATATATATATATATATATATATATATATATATATATATATATATATATATATATATATATATATATATATATATATATATATATATATATATATATATATATATATATATATATATATATATATATATATATATATATATATATATATATATATATATATATATATATATATATATATATATATATATATATAGGATTAATATAAATAAAAATTTGTCACTTAGCTGACTGATATTATATACAGCAACTTTACTCCAGAGTTTCATAGGCAAACCTTTGTGGAATTGTTCAGTTCACTCATCAGGGGATATCACCAAATTTCTACCAATTTTCTTATAAAAAGAAATGATTTATTTAACATAACCATGTTTTCTTTACTTTTATTATTGTTTGGAATTTGCATGTTCAAATTTTTGATTTAAAAAAAAAAATCGGTAAATGAATTTCCTACATTATAAACAAATTATTTATACTATTTACATTGTTCATATTGTTGACCCCATCATATGCTCTGGCCTTCTTCGGGTGATTGGAATTTTGAAACAAACCCTTTATTATCGTCCACCGGAGTAGATTGTTCTAGTTCCACATGCCACGCCTCTTATAGATATCTCAGTATCAATTATTTTTCTTTAACTCAACTCTCTGATGTAGACAGGTATTGAACTCACAACTCTTTGGGTCAAGTCACCAGATAACTTCAATCAACACTTTTATCCATTGGGCTATGTGTCAGGGCACATATAAGGACATGTAAACTATCAATTTTAACCTCTTGATTTCAAATTCCAGCCAAGTTAAAAATTGTTATTTGTTGAAAAAAAGAAATTACATGTCTGAATTAGCCTAATTTTTTCTGCTCTACATATTATATATATAGAATTAATGGATTCTATTTTTTAATTTAACATTTTATTTTTAGTCGATACCTGTATTTAAGTAGACATTCTGTTTAGTTTATTTTAAACAGTGTTTATATTAAAGGCAAATAGAACCTTGCTTGAATGTGAAGCTCTTCAGACATGGCAAAAATAGATGAGTCATGGTCCATTCCATCTGCTTTTAAGAATGCCACTCACAATACTGTAAGAAGTTGCAGTGAGTGGACAAGCTGTCAACATCACTACCAGTAACATCGATCAACCAATCTGACACATGCATCAAATCTGGGCCCTACTGATTCTCCTTTCTTCCAAGTTGTTTCCCTTGCCCACAAGTAGCACACCAGATCAGATGGAAGGAGGATGCAAGTTCATATCCTGCCAGAGGGCAAATTTATTTAATACATTTTCTTAAGTGTTCAGTCTAGTAGATGAAATAAATACTGTTTAAAATTTAAAATATGAGTGTCCACTCAAATATGGGTGTGCACTAAAATCTTCTGCCTAAAAATTTTGTTATATTTTACAAAATTTTGATAATGCTTCCTTTTGAACTTTTCAGTAAATCTGTGGAAAAATAAAGACAGCCCCATAAAAATTAAAATCTCAACAGATTGATTTACTTTAGCATCAATTTATTTATCTAAAGAACTTCTCTACCAAACTTTCTTTAAATTATAATTACATGAAGAGATGGAAATTTTGTTCCATGGAAATTAATTTTTGCATATACACTTGTAGTTATATTAATATTAGTAATATTATTTTATTAATATATATTAATGCCAATAATCCCATTTTGGGGACAGTAGGAATTAATGGATCAAATAAGCAGCATGGATTGCAAAATTTAGTTTATATTTAATTTAAATAAAGTGTTTATTTCATATTTCACTTGATTTTGCATATTTAAAATATGACTGAGACATCTGGAAGAGGTATGGAATGTGGAACTAGAACAATCTGCTCCAGTGGATGAAATAAAGGGTTTGGTTTGAAATTCTAATCACCTGAAGAAGGCCAAGTGTACAATGGCTGAAATGTTGTGAATATGGCAATGAAGATGAGGATAACAGTCCAAATAATGTAAATAATGTAAATAATCATAATACCTCATCTCAGAGATATAGACAGATAATATTACTATACATGAATATATCTCTTCAACAATTGGTAATACTTGTCTCATGCAGCCACCTCCACACATGAAATTTACTATCTGTAACAGTCAGAAATGTAACTTGTCTGATCATGCAAGATAGCAACAAACTTTCATGGTTCAATGACAATGTTTTCTTGTTCAAGTGAGGTGTTGTAACCAATACAAACTCTAGCATGTTATACTCTACTTCAAATTAGATTTCTGTCTGATTCACTCTACATCAAAATCTGCCAGCTGTATGTGAACGCTAAGAAATCAAAACCAAAAATAAAAAAGTCACTCTCTGCCCAGGGGCTGCAAGCATCACATCTAGCTCACAAAACAAAAAAGGAAAATAACAATACAATATAAAAGGAGCAAATCACAAATGTTGATGCTGAAGTAAAAGCATGACAAAAAAAGATGAGTCATGGTCCATTCCATCTGCTTTTAAGAACACTGCTCACAACACTGTAAGAAGTTGCAGTGAGTGGACAAGCTGTCAATATGTAACCTTGATCAACCAACCTGACACACACATCAACTCTGGACCCTACTGACTTCTCACTTCCTCCAAGTTGCCTCCCTTGACCACAAGTGACATTGTTGTAGTAAAGGTCATATTGCCTCTATTTCACTACTACAGACATTCTACCTTGATCCTCTATATTGGCAATACAAAGATTTTTATCTTAACAATTCTTGTCTTCCTTTCTTTTCATCTCACCAGCAGTATGTGTTGTTTTGTTTGTTCTCTTATACTACAATATGCATGTTTATAGCAAACAGAACACATTTGATTCCATTATAGAATCCCTACTAGCTGATAGACTGAATCCACAGCCTTGTTTATTCTCCTCTGTTAATGAATATAACTGTCTGTCCTCATGAGTCAGAAATGTACCATGTTTGACCAGGCAAGACAGGTAGAATAGAAATGTTTTCAGAGTCTGTCTATATTTCTGAGATGAGGTATTATGTACATTATTTACATTATTTGGACTATTGTCCTCATCTTTGTCGCCATATTTATTACAACATTTCGGCCATTGTACGCTCCAGCCTCCTTCAGGAATACCGAACTGAACCCTTTATTTTGCACACTGAGGTAGACTGTTCTAGTTCCACATGCCATGTTTGATGGATGTCAGTTATCAGTTATCTCCTGTTAATTTCCCTCTGAAAGTTCTCCACTGCCTTAACCAGGTAACTCACACTCTTTGTGTCCTGTCACTGGATCTAACCAACGCCTTTATCCACTTTATCCACTATGTTTTCTTGTCAAAATGAGATCAGTAACTATTGATGTAGTGTCAAGAATGATATTCTTTTTGATTAATGGCTATGAAAATCTAGGGAATATGGTAAGTATGAAATGATCATTTATTGCATTGGCTGATAGTTTGAGTATTGCCAAAATTGAAATGTGATTTAATGCAATGTTCTCTTTCTTTGGGGTATTACTGTCCTCGTGAGTTGTTGGCAATGCTGTTCTTGCATCACCTGCTGGGTGCAGCAGTTTTGATGTGGCACTAAAGTCTGTCCAGAATTCATATATTCTTGATATAAATATTTGTGGGGCTTTTTCAATTATCTCTAAAATATTTATATATATTATGCTGTATTTTTGTTGGTAAGAGGCATCACCACAAGTATGTTCAAAGAAATACAGAAAAGGCAACCTGGATGAATAGATAATAAAGAGAAAGCATACAGGAATCATGTTTTAGTACCACTGATATCACTATGTTTTGATATGTACAGCATGTCTGTATGAGAAAATATGTGTAGAGGGCATGGTATGTGGAAAAACTTGGGAGAAACTGAAATCAGTAGCATGCAAAAGTGGGGGCAGAGGGTGTGATGGCCTTGGACATCCATATTGGAAGGGCATCCAATCAAAGAGTGAAATAAAAATTTAGTTTATATTTAATTTGAATAAAGTGTTTATTTTATGTTTCACCTTTTTTTACATATTTAATATGTTTAACTTTCTCACATTTCTTAGTACTTTATAGCCCCAACCTCTACTTGAGTTTTAAGGGAAAACAATCAGCCGTCAACGAGTAAAAGTACTGGTACTTTACGGCGTCTAGGTAAATATTCGACTACTAGATACCTGAACTTTACATTGAGGCTGCGGAATATATTTTTGTGCCATTCTTTTTAATAGTTGGTTCTTATGTCATCAAATACGGTAAAATGTCTATGTTTCCTTTTTTGCCGGAACGTTTTAACAGAATAATTTTTATACCTAACACCGGTTTCGGTGTAATGCTTACATTGTTCAATTGTAGAAAAATTAACACGAGTTGGTTAAGTTTATAACATTTTTTTTTTTATTTGTTTTCAGAACAAAATATATTAAAAATGAGGTGAGATAATTTTACAGAATTCTTATATTTGTTTGCCATTTTAAATTATTGTTTTGTTTTTTTATCTATCTGCTAAACAATTTTCAACATAACATTTCCGATTTCGGAGTTGCTGCAACCGGCAAATTGCTTTTTTTAGTTTGAGTGTTTTTTTTTCTTTTAATGTTTATTTTCTACTTCTAGTTAGAACAACGAAATAAATATTTATTTTTATGCAGTTGTTTTTATTGTTAAAGTAATTTTTTGCTAAAATATTTGAAACCTGATTATTTTTCGAGATTTTGAAATGCATAATAATACCTGTTTTAATAGTTTTAAAAAAAAAAGTAATTTAATTTTAATTATTAATTTAAAAAAATCAAACTCGTTATATAACTGAGTGATATTGAACTTCAAATAAGAACACTGAATTTAATTTAACTTTTCGAAAACATTTTTAATTTTTTATTAATCCCTTAAAAATAAAACTTAACGGCACTTAAGAAAAAAAATGTATTTCTTTTTGGGCCGAGAAAACTGAATGAATTTAAGTGGGAAATTCAATGTATTGAAACTAAAGTAATTTTGGTCGACGTAAACATCGTGGGGATGATCACCTCTTTTAAAACCACCTTTCCCAGGATATGCTTTCCACAAAATCTGGAAATGTGTTATTTACTAAGCTTAGCTTAGTTTGGTACAAGGCCACAATTTATGGGGCATTCTTTTAGGATTCAGTTTCAACTGTAATAGCCAACCAACAAACTATATCAACGCCAATTTACCCTGCCACAAGTGAGTCTGTCGGGGTGAGGAAAGAATATTTAAATTAAAACCAACATTCCTTTATGATGTTTACTAGGGTCGTATGATAAACAAGTAAAAAACAAAAAATTACTGTTTTTTTTGTGTGTGTAAAAGACAAAGTACCTAAAATCCCTAAAAAAAAATTATTGATATTGTTACATTGTACAATGAGTTAAATTTACTACTTAGGTGAAGGTTTTTGGTTTATAAAATCGAGCATTTTTAAAAAAAATATTGTTAAAAGAGGAAAAACTGGTAATCAATAATTAAATAAAATTATGTACCTCCAAGAAAACGCTACCCCCACCCCCCAAAAACAGCATACCGTGAGGAAAACATACGTAATGAAAACAGTTTTATCGTCAAAGTATTTTTTGATTATTTAATTACATTTTTTCTCCTTTTTAAAACATTCGAAATTTTGATTAGAAACTTGTTTTTTTGCTTCAGTGGTTGTACTAACTTTTTTTAGCATACCAAATTTTAGCCTCTTTTTCTTGCGGTGATACACATTAAGTTGGAAATTCTTGGAAAAATCAAGTAATTGTCAGATTTTAATTAAATTTTCAGTACTTATTCATAAAATGAATTAAATTATTTTTTAAATATTTTTTATTAGAAAATCTTTTTTATTTATTACATGTGTTTCAGCCCCTTACTTGGGAAAACGTGAGAAATTCATCGAGATTATTTTTAGTGACTAAGGCAGAATTCTTTGAAGAATTTAAATCGCCGATTTTTTTTGCAAAATCTGACTCGGTCTTACCGAAAATCTGTTCGGAATTAAAAAATGAAAAAACGAAATAAAATTAAAATATTATTTAATTAGAGAAGCTTTTAATTGCTCTTATGAATAATATATATTAAAAAAAGACAATATTGTCTGAAGAAAAATGAATTTTTATAAAAAAAGTTTTCATTTTTTACAATTTTAAATTGAATAATTTATAAAGTTTTTAAATCTTTTAAAATTCATTTTCATTGAGATAATTCTTAGAAAATATTGTTAATGTTAAGTAAAACTATATTTACTAACCATATATTGTAAAGCTTATTACAATCTGATGATCCTGAATATTTTTAAAAGTATTTTGATTTGTTTTTGTATGTGTAATTATGTGCAAAATTTCTGAAGTATGGATGTACAAACCAATAAATCTAGCATTTAAAGATCATGTGTTTCAAGGGTTGTCCCCCTTATGCCCTCCCCCTAAAAAAAAAAAAAAACTGTATTGTCTGCTTCACCATACTTAACTATGTACACATTCAGCTGTCAATCGAATGTAAATAATTAACATGTCAGAAAAACAAAACCCTGTAGTTAAGAAATGTTTGTATATGACATTTTATACTATAAGTAAGTAATATGTATTTCAAATCAGATTAATTTAACTTTAAATTTGCTAATTTTCCTCAAATAATGTTTCAGAAGTATATATTTTATTTTTGTAAAAAAATTTTTAAACCAAGAATTAACTTTTGTTTTTGTCAAAAATGGCTGCTTTGATTGATTTTAATGAAAAAAAAGTCAATTCTGATCAATGTAATTTCTGTTTGAAATACACCACAGTATATTTTGCTTACTAGAAATAGTAAATTTTAAACCCTTTAGCTTTCAATTAAAGCTAAAATGAAAGCTTCAAGAAAGCTTTTTCACTTTTAAAAAATAATTTTAAACCTCGCATATATTGAATTAGTGGAGGTACCTAAATAAAATTATTTTGGCAAAATCTTTTCAAGCTTCTTATTGAATAAAAAACATTTTGTTTTTGCATCAATTCTAGAGGTGTGTGAGTATATATAAAATTCCTGAAAAGTGTCATAAAAATACAATATGAATAAAGACAAGGGAAACTTATCTTAGCTGACGAATTTTGTTCATCTGATTGACTTTCAAACATAAGGATTTTACTTTGCAACAAGTATTTACAAACAAAATAAAATTGTTAACTTTTCAAAATTTTTAAATTTAAGAAACACTCATAAATATTCATCAGGCTATCTGAAAACAGCCTAGCTAATATACATGGCTATAAAAATGTTAACCCCCCCCCAAAAAAAAACGGTTAAATTCATAATTTCCTTTTATTTAAAATATAATTATTATTATAAATAATAATAAAAAAAATCAACAATATTTAATCACTTTTTTGTTTATTAGACACTAAATTACATAACTTAGCATCCTTCATAATTTACCTGGACTAAAACGTTTTCAGTTAGTCTGATGAATATTTATGAGTGTTTCTTAAATTTAAGAATTTTGAAAAATTAATAACATTTTTACTTTTGTTTATAAATACTTGTTGCAAAATAAACATTTGTCTTGATAAAGTTCATTGGAGGACAAAATGAGTCAGCGAAGATAAGTTTTCCCTTATCTTTTATATATATATATATATATATATATATATATATATATATATATGTATGGTGTATGATGAACTTTCCCATCAATTTTCTATGTATGAGGGCTAAACACCAGTTTTTAAAACTGTTCTACTAGACTACTTTGATTATGGTGGTGAAAGCTTGTGTAGAACTAGCCACCCTTTTTGAAAGAACTGATAACAGAAAAATGATGTACAGTGTGCCACAAAGTCTCCAAACAACCCACCTCAAGTTTTAAATTGAGATTTTTTTCCTTCTAGACTGGTTGCCAACCAAGGCAAGAGAGCTCAGTCTGCCCTGCTATTTAACCCATAGCTGGGAAGTGGAAGTGGAGAAGTGATGGATCTATACCTTTCCCAAGGTTATTTGTATAGCAGTTAATGTAACAAATTCTGACTCTGCAATTTCACTTTCTGAGCTACTATCATACTACCACCCCTATATATGCACAAATTGCACTAAATTTTGAGAAGTCAATCTGTTAGAGAGTGTGGTGCATGCAGAACCAATGTAAGAATTTAATATTTGTTGATTATTAGTATTGGAGGTACAATTTCCCAAAGGACATGTGAATTCATAAACATTATTTTTACATAGGGTGGATTTTTAAAGATGCTGAATTATTTCTAAAGTATTTCTTAGGATTAATTATAAATTAAATATTATAAGAGTTATTGATCTTAACAAATACCTTAAATTTAGAAATAATCTAGCACCTCACAAATCCACACTATGTAAAAAAAAATAATGTTGTTTATGAATTTCAATGAACTTTGGGAGATTGTATCTTCTACACTAACAATCAACAAAGTCTCATATATAATGATTTGTTACATATAATTTTAACAAACGTCTAGCCATTAATGTTCTCACAGAGGTGATAAGGAAGTTGAGAGATCAGCAAAAGTCATGGAAGAAAAGTCATATGGTATACTTTGTTAGGGTGAGGAAAAAGTCATAAAAAATATTTTCATTTATGGTAGGTAAAATGTTTTTAAATAAAATATATAACAATAAAGTAAATATTGGTCATAACAATCTTAGCATAATTAGATTAATTCAATAATGTTTTAAATATTTCTTTAAATAAGATATGTTAAATTATTACTTATATTCACTCTGATTTGTTTCTAACTCCTAAGCCAGTTATAACTTTATTTTTTCCTACAATCAGAAATTATAGCATTAAATCAGAGGGAGGAGCTTTTTCATATCTGCACCAGAAAAAGAATTTAATTGCTTGTACTTGAAAGCTTAAAGTGTAATATAATTAATCAAAATACACATATAAAACAAGGGCTTATGGCCACATCATGTTGAAACACATTTCCCATATGATGATCAGTTAAGCAATGTTAAACCTGGTCAATACTTAGATGAGTGACCACTTGGGAATACCAGGTGCTGTAGGTGGTATAATGTATAATAGCTTGGAATTGTTAATCAGAGAGCCAAGTTCCAATTCCCATTGGTTTTGTTATATTCACTTACATGCAAATACCCTTGGGAAAGGAATTGACTCCACCTCTTCTCCCTAGCTATGAGTTAAATAGTAGGACGTGTATCAATAAATCAATATTATCTCTAAAATATTTTCTAGCTTTAAATAAGCTGCAAGGGGTTGGTGAGCCATAAAAAATCAATCAATCAATCAATCAAAATATAAAACCTAAGAAAAAAGAAAAACAAATCTCGTTTTACCTGTTATTAACAAAGAATTATTTTTTACATACAAAAAACATGAACTTATTTTTTAAATTATTTTTCCTTTGTTATTAATGATATGTCTTATACTGTTAAGTACAATATGAAGATTTTCTTATCCAAAAAGACAATAATTACCATATTTCTGAATTTTTGCTTGTTTCTCCCTTCTCACATTAATTATGTTCTACCTTTACCTCAGATAAATAAAGGACCATTCCATCTTGAAAAAGATATATCAGAGACTGTCTGGTTTTAGTGAGAAAAATAGAAAGAAAGGAGAAGATATAGTAATTGATAATACTATTAGGTGCATAATGTCTGTTTCAGGAAAATAGAAGACTTTATCAGTATTGGATCTTTTCATTTGTACCCTCTTACATCTTTAAATAATGACCTGTGTTCAATATTTTGCTAAAGTTGTTAAGCTCAAATATTTGGCAATGCAGTAGTGGAATTTTCACAGATATTTTATAGCCATGGAAATTATAAGGAAAGTATTCAACCATGAAAAATTATGACTATTCAGAAACATAGGAAAACTGTTTATGAATGTCTTGTTCATTTTTAGAACCATACTTAGACAGTGGAACAAGAATAGTCTAAATGTTGATTAAATAAAAGGTTCAGTTTGAAATTCCTTTATGATTACCCAGTTTAACAGACATCAGAAGATGGTTGGAGGGCACAATGGTTGAAACATTGTGATTGTAATAATAAAGACAAGGGCATTATGCCAACTGTAAATAATACAGAAAATAACATGGAACTGGATGTAGTTGCACATTGTGCAGTTATATCTCATAAGTCAGCATTATTCACAGCCACATGCCATAGTTCTGGATTAACTGATTTGTTTTCTGTAGCTTTTTCTGGTGTTTGAAAGCATGGTTGGCAATTTTTATAATAGAAAAATAAAATTGAGTATGGATGAAGTTTTTTCTTTTATTTCAAAGCCACACATCAAGGTGACTAACATAAATAAGCTGGTGAAAATGATTTTCATTGCTTGATTTTGTTATTCTAAGTGTGTTGAATATCTTCTGTAGCATTTAACATTGATTATTCTCGATTAATGACTTAATATAATTACTATTAACCTTACCTGTCCAAATGACTGTGGAATATCATTATCCTGAATGATAACTTCACTTTTGGTTATTCACTTTCTCCATAAACTGCACAATTTTCTGTTGTGCTTGAGTTGTATTTTTATCTTTCTAAAAAAAAAAATTATAATATACCAAATTGTTGTTTATTTTCTTCTACCTTCAATGAATATAAAATATGTACATTTTGAGATCTTTTAAAAAATATGTGTTGATATAACAGATGTGTGACAATACAATCAAAAGTGACGTTTTGGGATGATGTTAGTTAAAACTAAATGTTCTTAATGCCACTCGGAGATAAAAACAGAGCAAACTTTGACCAACTTAGCAATTTCATTCTTATTTCATTTATTACATTTGAGTTCTGCTACTGCAGTAAATGATTTTGTCTGTTCAAGAGAGCAAATGTACAATTCTTCAATGTGCAGATTCCCTTCAGGACCTGGGAGATTGTAGCTCTTAGTAAACTTTGTCTTTTCATTATCTTTCCTAATCCTTGTTCTCTCAATCATTTACAAAATCTTGTTGGGTAGGCTGTGCACTACTTTGTTCTTGCTTTCAATATGTCCTGTCAATGACAAATTTTCGAAGCCCTCTTTCCTCATTATATACCCTAGAAATTTCAACTGTCTCTTTTTGATAAGTATGAATGTCCTCTTTGTTTTTAAGTATATGTGTCCTTTTCATTGTTGCATTTTCCATCCTCTGTTAAAACACTTCCTAGATATTTAAATTTTTATATTTGCTTGATTTTGGCATCTCTAGTTTGAATTTGCATGTTGGGATGTTCCTTTTGCTAACAACTATGCATTCTGCCTTCTTGCAATTGATGTTTTTCTTATTTCTTTACTACCTTCTCTCAGTAGTTTACTTTCTGTGTCTACTATTAACACTGTGTCATCTGCAGATCTAATGTTAAGAAATGTGCAATTAGCAACATTCCTTGGAAGTTTTGAATATTTTAATAATAATTTTTTCTCTTTTATTTGAAGGTTGAATATTGACGGATTACTTGTGTACTTTCCATATGATTACATTTATCCTGAGCAATATTTGTACATGACAGAACTGAAGAAGACTTTAGATGCCAAGGTTGGTTATTATTTGCAAGGATAAGTATAACTCTTTCTATTGTTACTGTTTTAATTCTTTTCTTCATAATTTTTATCCCAAGCATGACAAAGCCAAGGGGTTAAAGACCACAATTCAATGTGACAGAAGACGACAATTGATGCTGCATTTAAATTTTTGAAGATTGTAGTTGACAGAAAAGCAAGAAGATAGAAGAGAATTCCACAAGTGAGAAGTGCAGGAGAAAAAACTATTGGAATAGAACTAATACTTACTTAGCAATTTCAGCACTAAATGGTGAGACCTAGCTACCTGACTAGCATTGCACTTAAATTCATGAAACTGAAAAAGCAAAGTTCATCAGAACAATTATCTTGAAAGTATTTATAGAGAACACATAGGAAGACATGCGGAGGTGAGAATTGACTGAAACTGAGATGCCAAATATATTATGTACTAGCAGCATGGCCCGGTGTTGACCGTGCTTGATTAAAAAATCGTACGACTCATACAGCAATCGCTATCACTTGACTTAAAATATTTTTGCCCTTCTTTGCCTTTAAAGGAGTGCCCTTTGCCATGCTGATGTTGCTACATGCCTTACTTCTTGCCTATCTCACACTGTGAATTTTTTCTAAGCTCTATACTAAACATTAAATCTGTTACGAAAAAAGAACTAAACAAAATGAACACAAAATGATCAGCTTTAAAAAGACTCGAAACTGGAAAAACCAAATGAAAAAAGAATGTTACCAAAAAAAACTTTTTCACACACAACCCAGTTCTGCGGAATCAGAATCAACGTTGAGTTTAAGCAAGTGAATGAGCCAATTGAAGTAAAGTGCCATGCAGATTTAAATTTTTTCCACTTGTGACGAATGCAGCTATTGATTTTTTTTTTTTTGCATGCTAGCATGCTAGTTAACATTCGTGTCAGTCAGCTGTTGGCTGTCACACTGGCCAATAGAATCTTCCGGCCTATTTGTGGCAGCCAGCTATAGGCTCTCACTCTGGCCAGTACAAAATGACTGCAAACTACATGAAAACTGCCATAGAAGCATGAAAAAATCGATTATTTCTACTATCGATGGGAGTTAGGAAATGCAAAGTCAGTCTTGGCCTTCCCGCTAACTTAGAGCATGTGCATGTAAATTTTGGTGCAAATCCGTCAAAAATTGCGGCCGTGCATTCATCACACACACACACACACACACACACACATATATCCTGTCTTTTATAGAGATTAATCATTTAGGTTATTTTGTTTTTTTTTAATTTAATTTCCATAATTTACCTGGAGAATTTATATAAACAAATTTTCTTTTTCTTATACAACAATACTTTTGTCCCTGTCCATAAGAATACTCCTCATTCACTCAGTTTCTATGAAGGTGCAACACGTCTTCTTTTGCTCATTAATTCAAACACAGTATGTAATTTATATTCCTATTTGCCCTATTTTATTGTATTTTTAATGATAATTTATGAATTTAAGAATATTGCTACAATAATTTATGGAATGATATGTAAAAGAAGAAATTAACTCTGAAAAAAATATAGGTATTGCTTGTCTTTCTTTTCAAAACTAATTGAAATTGTCATTTGTTATTTTGTAGGAAATTCATTCATCCAGGCTTTATTTAAAATCTGAATATCTGAATTTCAAACGATAATAAAAATAAAAAATAAAGAAAATATGAGTATGTCTGATAAATAAATCATTTGTACTTACAACCTATGTACATGAATTCAAGACTCAGAAATGATTAAAAATAGTCTTTAGTTGAATTAAGGTCTTTAGTTAGTTCACAGAAAAAAATCTATAGTTAAAAAAAGACTTATCATTAGTGAAGATTCACTGACTGTCCAAGCTGTTATTGTAGATGATTCATTTGAAGTCACCGACATGTTTTTCTTCAGCATGCACTGTGGGGAAAGAAAAAAGCATGTCTTCAGTTGTGTGTGGCTTGGCCCAGAGACCATTGCATATGTGTTCAATTTGAAGACAGCTGCTTCTCTGATCTCTGGAAGTCAAAATATGTAGGTTTTTATAAGAAATTTTACCTCAAAGTAGGCTCAAGAAAAATAGGATTTTATTTTACACTGAATGGTCAAATTTTCACATGGTGATGTTTATTTCTAACTAATAGATACTTTAATTGAAATGGTTTGTGTTTGTTTTGATATGGATATGTTGAAAATAGGGTTTATTTCCTATAGCTTTCTTGTTAGGATGATTGTAGCTTCTTCTATTTGGTTATGTGCATTTCTTCCCAAATCTGACAAATCTGGTATTGCTACATGTCTTTGGAACCTCAAATCTAGGATTTAATCTCTAATCAGTGGTTCCCTGTTACCTCACAAAAATTCTCCATTCGAGGAAAAGATGACAAAAAACTGCATGTACAGCATTCTGTGCAGATGTGACAGTGAGACTAACCACACTCTAAAATAAGGTTTGAGGAACATTGGAAAGCTGTAATGTGTCCAGAGACATTACAATTAGGTTATCATATGTTATGGGGTAAGAGTGTTTACCAAACTCTGTGGTATAAACTAAAAATAACTGATCAGGAACAACAATGGAGAATAAGACAGTTGATGGAATCAATGCACAAACTGTTTAAATCATACAATTAGCAGGCCAAGCTTAGATATCAATGTATGGGAGCAACTGATCAGAAAAGAATGGTTGATAGATTTGACATTCCCAAAACATGCAGAGATATCAAATATGACACATTTTGGAAGGAATATACAAAGTTCAACTTAAAGAAATATACAACAATTTACTTAAATAAGGCTTGAATATATGAAAGCAATAAAAGACAAGGGAATTTGTTTGAACAAAGCAATACAATGAGTGGAATACATTGTCTGAAAACATTTAACTATTTATAGATAAATTGTCATTTATAGTATTTATAGTAATTGTTAGTACTAGATTGGCATCAAGGTGTCATCATTTTAGAGTCGAAATGGTTAGATGTAATAGTACATTCTATGCTAACAGTTTGCACTTCTCTCTTCCGGTCTCTTGCTTTCCAGTCAATTTTGATCTTCAAAAATTTAAATGCAATGTCAATTGTTATCGTCCATCTTCTTAATTCCTGTTTTATATTGTTCTCTCTCCTTCATAGTGTTATTTTTTCTTTTTTTATGTTTTCTAACCATTCAGTAACCATTTGTCTTAGAGGCTTTATTGCTTTGCTTGAGGTGAAATGATTAAAAAAAATTGCTTGGGATGCTGAAAAGTTCTTAGCCTGAACAACTTCTCAAGATCAGTGTTCTGAAGTTTGGTCTGATTTTTGGAAGTGAGTCAGATCAGGTACTTTTCAGCACCCCCTCATAATATTTAGTTTTTTTTTTATTCAGATCATTCCCAAATAATGCTTTTAGGATAATATGAATAAAAAATAGAGAAGACATTTATTACAATTATTAGAAATATCATCATCCATTATTGTTATGGAAATCAGTTAGTCTGAAACCCTATTTAAAATTAATTAAAAATTAACCAGTTCTCTGTAAATTTTGTTTATAACAATAAATTTATAACAATGTAAAGTGTTCCAATTTTTATTTCCTTTTCTTCAATGTTATCAGCCAGTTATTGTTTTCTTAAATCCCTATCCCAAAATGATCACAATAAACACTGGTGTAAGTGCAAAGTCTGTTTTGGTATACATACTGGAGTCATCACAGATAATCTTCTCTTGGAAGAAAGGTTTTGATTTGATATTAAATTTGGCTTGGAATGTCTGGTACTTTCTGGTGTTAATCAGATACTACAATATGTTAATTGGGCATCACAGTGTCGAGTAATTGTTACCAAGATAGTTTGGTTGACATTTATTACAGAGGAGTGAGTTTGCTTCTGACATAATGCCTCCATACTTGTAGCCTTGTTCCAAACTAATGTTATAATAATTGTTTGGTTGCAAAAAGAATAACAAGGATTAGGTTCTTTAAACAACGTGTATTCGTTTAATATACAAAGTATTGTACAGTGATGTTGGAAAATTGGTGAAATGTCAATTTCAGTTGCTGATCGTCGGGATGGTGATTAGGTGTAAGTGTAGTGCCGGGAGTTGATTGATTTCTTTGGTTGGTTTGACTGAGGTCACAGGATATAGTTGTTGGTTGGGTCTGATGCATGTGTTGGTCAATTGAGATTATGGTGGTAGGTCAAGTCATGGGTGGGTGCATTGGTTGACTGAGGTGATGAGGGATTGGTGTAGCTGGTAGGACTGTGTTTCTACGAAATGGGATCATGGTGATGACTGCAAGAAAATTCCTGTTTGGTATGCTGGTAGTAGTGACAAAAAATTAGGTGTAGCTGGGTGGTGTCAATGTTGAGATGTTATAAATTGCAATGGTCTGGCATTGGGCACCTGAAAGTGTGGATAGTCAGCCGCTGTAGTGAGTCAGATTTACTGAGATGATGGTGTTGGTAATGAGGAAGGCTTTTAGCTGGTTGGAGTTGATGTTGAGATGTTATCAACTGTGATGGTCTGGTGTCTGGAACCTGGCAGTGTTGAAGCTGCATAGTTGGCTGCTGTAGTGAGTTTGATTTGCCGATATAACAGTATTGGTGATGAGAAAGATTTGTAGCTGAGTGTAGTCTGGCAGTGTCAAGGCTGGATATTCAGCCATATTCTGCATGTGATATTACAAATCATGTTGGTGTGTGCTGAGAGCCAGGTGGTGCTGCTCTCTGTTGGTTTTCTGTGTGTGAAGAGTTGGGTGATTAGTCAAGCCTGGGAGTGGTAATGTTCATGTTAAGAGGAGCGGTCAGGGCATGGTGGTGACAGTGGCAGTGCCCTGCGTGCCGGCAGGTGGCCTGACAACCAATGATTGTTGGTGGTTGTTATGGAGGCCTGCAGTCCTCAAAAACATCTCATTTTCTGGTGGGAACATTTGTGATTGGCTAGTGTTGCTTTCATGGTGAGGGTTTGCTTCATAGACCAGATGTGATTCTCGAAGCCTATGTGCAGAAAATGACTTTTTATCTTGTTCTCTGCCTTCATGGTGCTCACATCTGGTTGGCATTCAGAATGAATCAGAAAGAGATCTAATTGCAGCAGAGTATAATGAAAAGAAATATGTTACCTACTTCATTAACACTAGAGATAAATTATCAACTTTTGCACTGTACTATGTTTAGAAAGCGCTCATTGTATACACTTATCAACGTAATTGTCACTAAAACTGAATGAAAATCCATTGACATGCTTCAGGGGAGGTAACTGTAAGTTTTGTTTTAATTGGATTACTAATATATGAAATCAATTCAATCAAAAAAAATTGTATATCAGCCTTAAAATTTAATCAGTTTCTTCTTGGTTCAAGGAGATGCTGTGTGACAAACAGGAATGTTTTCTTTTATGTGACATTTTGTCCGCAGAAGATGCAATTCAAAATAATCTGATTAAGTAAAACACAAGTTAACAGGATTTGTAACAAAGTTTGTCACGTGTGAAATATATTAAATTCCTTTACTTTCACAGTTTAAGCCCAGTGTTGGGGAAGTAGTTATAATTTTGTTTTTCCTTTTTATGACAGGACTTTATAGTTCAGAAGATTGGTTACTTATTCAACCTTTTAATATGATAAAAAATAAATGATATTACTTGCCTATTATGTAAGAGTTTATGAGGTATAAAATTACATCAATTCATTTTTTTTGAATTTTTAAAATACCAGTTAAATGTATATATTTTCTCTTTTGTATATATCAGATGTTTAAAGTTTTTTTTTTACTTTTATTTTGCCTCTAAATATTTTATTTCAGGGACATTGCAGCCTTGAGATGCCTTCAGGAACAGGAAAAACTGTCTCTCTTCTTAGCCTTATAACAGCTTATATGAAAGTAAGTAGAAAGCATTGATAATCCTTCACTTATAAAATATATCTTATAAAATAATCTGCCATTTTATATCTTTGTTTTAATTTTATAAATATTCTTTGCTTAAAATAATTTTTGATTTATTCCCATGTAAATATTGTTGAAGTGATGGAGAGATGATTCATTCTTTGATAACAGCAGGTTGCCACTAAAGCAACTGATCTGTTATGTCTATTGCTGGAGTTGCAACATGGTGCAGAATGACATCCAGCACAAAACCTGCATGAACAACACTAGTAAAATGTTTGCTGCTTGGGCCATTCATTGTCGTGGTGTATGCAAAATGAAAATTGAAGAAAATCCTTCAATGATCAGCAGTATTAATGAAGATGGCATGCCAATTGTGATAGAAATAGATGAGACAAATTTGGTCTTATTGATTTTACACTATTCAGAGAATAACAGTTTATTTTATGTCGCTTAAGTAAAAGATTACTGTTATACAGTTGTTTATAGTAGCACAGAAACAAAACAATAGTACCACTGGTGATGCAAAAAGACAACAATTGTAAATATAAAATTCTTTTTTATTGCTTACACAGCAGATGTGAGCAGAATATCTCTATGTGGGTGAGGTACAGTGATTTGAAAGCAGGTGGGTCTTGAGTGGATATGTGTGTCGTGTTGCTTGACTTAGGTCATGGTAGTGAACTTGAGAAAGGCCTGGAGTGGATTAGTGAAGCTGTGAATCTGACTTTGCTGATACAGAGGATATGAGTGGAATGTCTATCTGGGCATAATGTAGGTGTTTGGAGTGTGGTGAATTTTGAGTGGTTATGAGTGTTGGCTGACCGAAGTCACAGTGGTGATGTCAAGACTCTGCTGGGCATTGAAATTTGGCCTGTTGGCTGAGTTCTATTCCACTTATTTATGTGTTGCTTTCTTAAAAGCAAATTGTAGAGGTTTCCAAGCACATCTTTTGTTTGTGTTTTTTCTCTGGCGACAATGTTGTTGATTGGCTTATTTTATGTTGTTATTTTATCTTTTTGGGTGGATTTGTTTTGTGGGCCAGTTATGATGCTTGGAGCCCCTGTGCAGAGGACAACTTTTTTATTTTGTGTTTTGCTTTCTTAGTGTTCACATCCAGCCAATATGTAGAGTGAATCAGAAAGAGATCTAATTTGAAGCAGATGCAATTAACTCAGTATATTGTGATTAAATATAGTTACAAGCAAAACTGTATTGTAAATAATGACAAGTTTTTGATTATTTTATCCTTTCTTTCTTTTAGCCCCACAGTTTATATAATAAAAATTTACTTTCAAAGTAAAGCATGTTTGATACAGATATGAACAATTTGGTTCTGGGAAGTAAAATTTTAATAAGTTACATGGACAACAACCATGTCATTGATATATTTTGTATGAAACAAAAATCTTTTTGTACTAATTTCTTTGAACTGGTGTCCTCATCTTGGTTGTTTTCACTCACAATATTTTGGTTGTTGTAATCTCTTGTCAGAGATTATTTGGTAATTTAAAAATTTCAAACTGACCCCTTTATTTAATAATTGTAATAATAAATGATTGATATGAAATATCCAAACAATGAATGAGTAAGATAGAATTTGTGAAAACTGTATGTTTAAAATGTTTTTATTTTCTTGTTAATGTTTTTCTCTTTATGAACCTTTTTAAAACAACATTTCCAAGAAAAAACTGTTTCCTTGGTTATTCTGCTACTTAACAATGCCATGGTTAAGTTGAAAAATTTGACAGTTAATAAGTTAAAAAATATCTGCATACAAATAAATACAGATTTTTATTTTAAAATTTTATTAAATATCAATTTTTTTTAAAATTAACCAGAGCGTTTTTAAATAACAGGAGTGATACCATAACAATTTTTTTTCATGCTCATAAAAAGCAAAATTTTAACAAGGAAATAAAAAAAAAATGTTAAACATCCAAATGTTTTTCACAAATTTTATCTTACAGGTCTATATCTGTACATATACTGAAAATCTCTTTTCCAGATTTATTTGTATGATTTCTGATCAAATTTGCATACAAAGTTCAATTAATTTTCTATGTACTTTAGATTTGTAATTGCTTGATATGTACACCTATTGACTGTACAATTTAATTAAAAATGTAATATATATATTGCTTACTTATTTAATATCTTATTTCTTCCACTCTTCAAAAATTAGGCATATCCACTGGAGGTAACAAAATTAATCTACTGCTCAAGAACTGTACCAGAATTGGAAAAGGTATGTTTTTTTTTCTTTGTTTTATAATTATAGATTAACCTTTCCAAGTCCCTAAAACATTAAAAAAAATGTAAATATAAGTTGAGAAAAATAATGGTTTTTAGATTATAAATCATCCCTTTATGAAGCAGCTGCATAAAATGTCTTTTCTATATGCTATTCTTCAGATGCTGAAATCATCCTTTTATGAAGCAGTCTGCATAAAATGGCTTCAATTTCCAGTGTAGTCTGTTGTATTTAATTTTGCACTAACACTCTTAGGGAAGATAACAAACCTTTTTCTTCTCCTCCTCCTCATCATATGTTAAGATAGATTGGGTTTTTTATCCTTGTGTGTCAGCTAGTCTAGGAGAACTATTCTGAATTCCAAACATTGGAGAAGGCAACAGGAAATCACTGCACTATCTTTCTCAAGAAATCATGGAAATTCCCAGATAATAAAGAAAAAGAATGTGGAGAGCCATGATTACTTACATCCTGATAATGGAGTGGGACATAATATTAAAAAAACAAAAGATTGTCTGATAAGAAAACATCCTTTGCTATGTGTTATGTCGTGTATATTGCTAAGTAAGCATTCAACCTCTGTTCTAGTTGTTGTCCATTTATCATATGAGCTACCTGCTCATATGCAAATTATACTAAATTTGCATATCACTACATCTCCCTATAACGGAGGGGCCTTATGCCGCGAGTACTTCTTGTACTTCTTCTTGTGCCCTCCTGAACATCTTCCTTTATCTCTCTCCTTTCCCTTGGAGATCTAGATCTATCACATCTTTCCCTATAATCGAACTGTTCCTCTTGCATACTGTGGTCTTTCTCTTCTAACTTGTCCCATTCTACTTTTTCCTCTTCTAACTCATCCCTCTCTACTTCTTCCTCCGCAGTTTCATTCTGCATTAACTCTTCTGTTACGTCAATAATGGGCATCTCTGAAGGCATTTCCTCATCCGATTCTTCTCCTTGGGATCTTATTTGGTCAGCATGAGCTAGAATACTGTTCCCATTTTCTTTATTTAATATTGCCGTATTATGTCCTTTCTGCATAATAAATTCGGCTGACTCTGGTGGCATATTCCTGTTTCTTTTGTACCACATCTTTTGATTTGTGGCATATGACATAGTCAAAGGGGACCTTAATTGTCTGCCCATTAAGGCAGATGGACTTTCCGGCCTGCCTGCATGTGGAATTGTTCTATAACTTAATAGTAGTCTTGGTAGAAAAGCATCGACTTCCTCCTTCTGTTGCAAGCATGCTTTTATGCCCTTCGTTACCGTCTGGACCATTCTTTCCGCTATCCCATTACTTTGAGGGTGGTAGGGAGGGGTCTTGTAAAGTCTGCATCCTATTTTTCTTAGCCATTCATGCAAATCAGCATCCACAAATTCTGGCGCGTTATCAGTCACCAATGTTCTCGGTGTCCCATTCCTCGAAAATATTACTCTTAATATTTGTTTTACGGTGGTACTTTTTTTATCGGGTACTCTCACCACTTCAGGCCAACCTGAATATGCGTCTACTAATATTAATAATAGTCCTATCCCATTGACATAGGCATGGTCCATGTGTACTCTGCTCCATGGTTCTACTTCTCGGGGCCATACATGTATTTTTCTTTTGCTTAAAATTCCTAAGTTCTGTGCATTTTTTTGCATCTTCTTACGTAGTCTTCTCGTCTCTTGAGTACCCGCCACCAAGCTTCCAATTTTAATCTTCTTTGCGTAGCTGCCACTCCACAATGTACATCATCGTGTACACTTTTTATAACCTGTCTCCTCTGTGTTTCTGGGGAACTACCAAGTCTCCTTACATATTATCCTGTTTTCTATAGTCATTCTATGTCTAATTTCTTTGGTCTTTCAGCCATTGAACAATTTCCCCCATGATTCTGTTTTATCCTCGACATTATTCTATTTAACACTGGGTCATTTGTAGTTTCAGTAGCCATTTTATCTACAGATATTACATCAGTTTCTACAAGGTGCAAGAATGTGTCTTCAAATTCTTCGTTGTTTTTGTCCTTCTCCTCTCTATAAAACCTCAATCTAGATAAGGCATCAACGTGCGGTATCGTATTCCCTTTAACATATTCAATGTCAAAGTCGAACGCCATCAGTCTAATCGCCCAACGTAATATTCTGGACGTTGTAACTTTCGGTAGCTCTTTTCTTGGGTTGAAAATAAATTCCAGTGGTCTATGATCACTTTTCAACAAGAATTTTTTCCCCATCAAAAACTGTCTTGCTCTATCCGTTGTCCACACTATGGCTAGTGCCTCCCTTTCTATATTCGAATAATTGTGTTCAGTTGTTGTTAATTTCCTCGATAAGTACATTATGGGATGCCCATCTTGTGACAAAATACCAGATGTGGACTGCTAGGGCTAGGGTTAGTTAGAGTTATGTCCTTCTTAGGGTCAAAAATTTGTACTATTGGCTTTTTTGCCAGAATCTGTTTTAAGTTTTCAAAGGCTTTCTGTTGGTGTTCTAACCAAATGAATTCCACATTTTTTTTTCTTAACTTAGCAAATGGTTCTGTTAACTCATTATATTTTGGTACATATTTTCTATAAAAATTTACCAAAGCTAAGAAGGACTCCAACTCTTTTTTCCGCCCGGTCGGTGGGGCATCAGAATACGCCGACTGCCCCCCTGCAGAGGGTAAAAGTCCCTCAATGGGGCCACCTGTTGGCCGTGGGTGGCGACCCGTAATGTCTGGGGACGGGATCCTGGTGGTTGAGCAGGTTGTAACCCAGGTGTAAAGCGGTCACAATCTTGTAACACACCACTTTGGCCCTTACCTGGGCTAGACGGGCGGTCGGAGGGGCCCGATCCGATCAATCGGCTGGTCATGTCAAGCCCCATCATATATAATCCAACCCAAACCTATAACTGACACTCCTCTTCCCAACCAAAACTAACACTTAACCCTAAATATGTGATGGAAGGCGGTGGCTGAGGGTCAATCAATTTGGGGAAAAAAGTATCTGACACACTTGCTAAACCTTCACAGCCGTAATACTTGGAAAACGGAAACAAAGGAACATGCGTGCTCAAAGACTCCTCCCAAAAAGAGTATATCATTCACGTAGCCCGACATGGCAAGGCGAATGGGTTTCCCCCCTTGACCTGTCCCAATCTGGACTCCGTGGTGGGTAGGGAGAGAATGATGAACAAAAAAATAAAAACAATCAATGGAAAAAAAGAAATCTTCCAAGAGACCACATGTAGATAACGACTCAGAAACAGAGAATGAAAGTGAGAACTTCCCACGGTTTATTGTACTTTCGAAGCAATAAGCCAAAAATCATTATCAGAAATTTCTTCGTTTAAAATACAAAAAGCAATAACAAATATCATAATACCAAAAAAAGGTTAAAAAATTACAAAAATGGAACAATACTAATAGAAGTAGAAAAAAAAATATGCGGACACATTGATCAGACAAAAAAAAAACTACAAGAGATAGAAATAAAAACCTACCCACACCAAACACTAAATTACTCAAAGGGGAGTAGTAAAAAGTAAGGAGCTCTCCTTGTGCACTCTAGAGGAAATAAAAATAGAACTCCAAACTCAAGGAGTTACAAATGTTAAAAGAATAACAATTAAAAAAATGGAGCTGAGATACAAACTAATACCTACATTATAACGTTCAACGCCCCCAAATTCCAACTTCAATAAAAATTGGATATGAAAGTATAAAAGTAGAACAATATGTACCAAACCCTCTACAATGCTATAAATGCCACAAATTTGGGCATCACAGAGATTCCTGTAGAAATAAAAAAATATGTGGAAATGTAGTGAGAAGGAACCAGAACACAAAGAAGAGAACTGCCCAAATGAGAGCCTATGCTCAAACTGTTTGGGAAACCACTCTGCCCTCTCAAAACAATGCAATATATATAAACAGGAGAAAGAAATAATTAGAATAAAATACAAAAAAATATATCTTACATAGAAGCACGAAAGGAAGTTATAAATAATATAAAAGAAAACACATATGCTTCCATGGCACAAAAAGCAAATAAAATAAACAATGAAGATAAAATAAAAGGTTCAATTGAAATAACAAATCTATGTAAGGAATTAAAAGCTTTCCTTGAAGAATTAAAAACCCTTTTTAACCGAACTTAAATCGGATCAAAATAAAACTCAACAACCCAGATCAAATGGAATAAACCCAGAAGGAGGCAAAAAACTTTGGAAAGAAAACACAGAACAAAACTCCAGCGAACCCTCTTCTTTCCAAACCCAAACTAAGAAAATGAAAAATAAACAAAAAGAAAAAAAAAAGACAACAGAGCAAGAAAGCACTCGATCAAGATCTAACTCAAAATCGAGAATCAGTATATCAAATGAAAATAAATTTGAACCTATGGAATATATAGAAATAGAAGAAAAGATAATAAACAAAATTCAAAACAAAATCAAAAATCTGATCGAAGGACATCACAAGCAGTTGAAGACAAAGCTTCTAAAAACTCAAGAGATGGAAAAAAATTGAGAGGACAAATGATACCAACCTAGTAGGTAACTTTACTCCCAAAAAATGAAAATATAATCATGGCACATAAGATCCTGCAATGGAACTGTCGTGGAATAAAATCAAATTACAATGACCTACTCATACTTATGTCACTACTGTATCCAGCCGTCATCTGCTTACAGGAAACTTTTTTACAAGAAAATACCAACTTAAAAATTATAAACAATACCACTATAATCACAATACAGGACATAGAGCTAATGGAGGAGTGTCAATATTGATCAGAAATGACATACCGCAAAGTAAAGTACACATTAAAACTAAATTACAAGCAATAGCAACACAAGTGACACTAGATAAAACCATCACAATTCTTTCCATTTATATACCCCCACAGGAACCAATAAACACAACAGAAATAAACAACTTGATGGAGCAACTTCCCAAACCCAGAATCTTACTAGGAGACTTTAACAGTCATAATCCTATATGGAATAGCAAAAAG